CTTTACAACAGGGTGACCACTTTTATGAAAAAAAAAGTAGCGACCTCATAGAAAAGTACTAATAGCGACGTTTTAGCGACCTTACGTAAGCTCAATTTAGCGCCTCAGAAATGGAGACGCGCTCAAAATTTCCTGGACTGTTTAGTTTTGCCGATGCCATCTGGAAAAATTTGGTAATGTATAAACTAGTAATTAAGCAAACAAGTAGTACACACCAAAAATTGCTACTTACACAGAAGTAGCGACCTGTCGCTGATTAACGACCGAGTGGTCACCCTGCTTTACAAGAACCCAAAACGCTAAATTTTCATCTGTAAGTTGTTAGTTTTCAAACATTTAGGCAAGTTTAATCCATAATAAGCGCTATTCATGACAATGCATCCCTTAGGGATAGCTACATTAGCCGAAACACATAAATTATAAACTTGCCTAAATGCATAAATTGAATTTGAAATGCATAAATTATACACATGAAAAACCCTTTTAAAAAGCCTTAATTTTTAGCATTCCTAAACATTAGTTAGAGGCTCAAAATTTATAAAAAAAAGCCAATAATCGGCACCTGTATTTTCTTTATGTAACAGCTGTTGCAGCTTAAAGCCTTCTAATTTTTGAGCAATTTAATTTTCCTGCTTTCAGCTTGGTCATAAAAGCGACTTATTTTGCTGAACGGGGAGGGTTCTCATGCTTGAAGGACCGAATGCTTGAAAAAGTTCAACCAATCAAAATCGCTAAGAGTTTCTATTGGCTAAATGCCTTTCTCACAAAATCGAAGTCAAGATTAACAGAAAATGTATTAAATTAGTGAAAAATACTCAAAAAAATTAAAAAATTGCGGGTTACAACCGCAATACTATTCAGATAATCATCAAAATTAATGAGGTCAAAATTCTAAGAATTTTTCAGTCTTGACAACTCATCTGCTTAATATCTAATCGGTCAATATTAACACTAATGGCCTGGATTTATTTTCTTACCTTGAGATTTTCGCGATTTACTTGAGATTTTGAATACTCAATTCTGATTGGCTGAAAGTTAGCTAAAATTAATTTCAAGCATTCGGTGCTTCAAGCATGAGGGACGCCACCTTGCTGAACTATTTTGCTGCCCTAGAAATTTTCGCAAGAAAGAGCATGGAGAATAACAAGTAGTTCCACAGGGATGCCGGACATCAAGCTGACGTGACTTCAATCCGAATCGTAAAATTAGGGACTTCAAGTCAAACATTTTCGCAAAAAGTCTGAAATATGATTCATTTGAAGACTGTTTTGGAGAATTGCTCAATTTCATGATCTTTCTTTGCCAGTTTTTGACTTTTATCATAAAATTTAAGCCTCTCATTGATGTTTAGAAAAGTTGCAAATTAAAACATTGTTGAATGGGTTTTCTGTGTATAAATTATGCATTTCAAAATTCGGCCGATTTAAATTACTGAAGCTATTTCTAAGGGGTGCATGTCATTAATAATGCTGATTATGGCCTCAACAAGCTGATTATGGCCTCAATAATGCTGATTATGGCCTCAACAAGCGATTATGGCCTCAACAAGCGTACAGAAGAAAAAATAGTGGTTTGAGGTGCTTGTAAAGCTTAAATTTCGGTCTAAGTCCCTTCGGCTTCAAGTCCCGTCGTCATGTAGTCCTACACCCGATCCACAGTCCCCATATTGTTTTGGGAGAATAAGCAAAGCCAGTTTGGTCGACCTACAGTTTGGTCGCCAACTTTTTGAAAACGTGTTCTGCTCAAATTTCGTTTTTGTTTAAAATCGGCTAAAAAGTGATCGCATTAGTATTAACCAATCAAATTTGATCAGTGGCTTTTCTCTGCTTTGTACATTATAAATTTTTAATTTTAAAAGCTACAAAATTTGCACGGAATACGTAACAAGGCCCCAGAAACAGGTGATGTTCTTTTTTTCAATTTGGGAAAAATATCTCTTAAATTAATTCAAGGCTAAATATTTCAATGCAATATTATCAAGCAATTAAAAGCTTGTTTCTGTACATTCAATTTTTCATTTTTATTGATTTACATGCATGCCCTGAAATTTAGATGAAAATGGTCGCCTGAAAAAGACAGAATTCTGTGACACATCAGCAAAACAAACAAAAGAAACAAACCGCGATATATTTGCTCATTGACAGTTTGCAAAAATTGGCTTCCAGTTCCTTCCACAAATCATCGGGCCATTGTCTGCACACAAAAAACTGAAGATTAATCCCTTTTCCAGAGGAGATGCCTCATATAATGTATACCGTTTTCAAAATTTATTGCATATTCTTTTTGCAAACTTATCTAATTACTTACTCAAACTATGATCAAACCTCCCATGTTGTTTATACGTCTTCGCATGCAATTTTTTGGCCTGATTCAGCTTAATCTCATCAAGCATGATTAGCAAGGTTGTAAGACAATCATTCGCATTTAGATTATATCAATGAAGAAAATAATTTGTTCTTGCGGTTCAGAAAAAAGATACTTTTCCGGCAAACTTTTTCTAAGGTAAAGGAGTCAAATGAAAAGTAATTTCGTAGTACATAAATAAAAGTAACGCCAACCATTTAAAGCCCAAAAGCAGTAAGGACGAAATCCACTCTCCTTCAAATAGATTTGGTGGGAAATTAACCTAAAAACGAAGATATTAATTAAATTTGCAAGTGGATATCCCTGAAAATGCCCTAGGATTACTTAAAAACAAAAAAAATATTTAAAAAAAACAATTAACAAAAAATCAAAAATTTACGAACGCGTGAAAACTTCTCAAGTTCGGCAGACACGATTGAAATTGTCTCGTGACCACTTCTCGGTAGAATGAAGTCAATTGCAAATCATCGATAGGCCATACATTAAATGGCTCGTACATAACACCACAGAGGCCCCCCATATAATCCAGTGCGAACTAGACAGAAAAGAAAACAACGCATAAAAAAGATTCAATAATTCAAACAAGCGTCAAAATCAAAGTATTTTAGCAAATTTACACAGTTGAGATTTGTGTCTAAAAAATGGCGTAATTAAACGAGCAGATTTTCAGTAAAGTTAAATAAAGATTAAAAAACTTACCCGCATTGCGAATCTATGCAGTGTATTGGTAAATACTCTGAACAAATCGTCAGATTCCAGAGAGCGCCTGTAACAGAAAACAAAAGAACAATTACGGTATCTGCACCAGCGGCGCAGATTTAGGGGGGGGGGGGGGGGGGCGGACACCCCCTGCTGATCCAAAGGTACTCCCCTGCCGTCCCCCCTTTGTACTATTTTGAAATCTCCAATCTTGGCTTACAGACCCTAAAATTTTTCTAAAGGCAACAATATATACTAATTTTGAGAAGGGAGCGCATTTTTTGGCATGATTTTTCAAAACTTCGCATGGGGCGCAGAAAATTTGGCCAAATTGGGGTCTTTATAATGATTTGTGAGAGTTCGGAAAATCAGTTTGGTCGACCTAAAAAAAAGTCGATAAAAATTCGAATTTTTTTTGAAAATCCCCCTGGAGAAAATCCTAGATCTACCCCTGGTTATCTGCAGACTAAAATAATCCGGGCTATTACCATAAGTGAAGTTTAAATTTTACCCGCTACATAACAATAAATAAATACCATTATCACTGCCTAGAATTTGACCCACAGAGAATTTCATCTCGAGTGGGTCACCTCGAGAGCTTAAATAGCAGAATCATTGAAACGTGAGTTTGCATCAGTTAAAGAGGAATTTGTATACATACTCATAATATGAAAAAACCTGAAGCTTAGTTTGTCGTCCATTTCTAAACCTAAGTATTTACACAGAGGCAAAGCTGCGCTTTGCAAACACTTGCGAGAACACGAACAAAAAACAGCTCTATCAATTGACATAAGAAAAAGTAGAAATAAGCCTCAAGGCTTAGCAAAAATTCGAATTAGCAAAATCTGCGAAATAGCAAATTTGAGTCTCTTGCACTAACCATTCAGCCATGGATGCTTAAAATCCCCAAAAACTAGCCACCAATAATCCAGCTACATATGCTAATAAATTGCCAATTCGATGCAGCAAAAGTAGAAACAAATACAAAAAGATACAATTTTGTGCAAAAAAAAGTCGCAAATGATAAAGCCACATTATGTATAAATTGTGCATTTCAAAAAATTGTCAGATATATTGAATTAGAAAATTTCTGAAATCGAGATTTTATTACTATGTTGTTTGAAACAAAGAGGTCTCTTTGGTTCACTTGATGAATTAAAAATGCACAACTGTGCAAATTTGTAACTATGCGAATATCAAAGCATGTTATCAATCAGCTGTAAAGTTGCAACTAAATTTCAAAGGTGCAACAAAATATCAAAATATCTTATTGCCATTTCGATGCAGCAAATTCGACGCAGCAAATATTGTTGCTTCAAGTCGCAACAATAATTGCAACTTAGTCGCCGTAACAAAAGTCGCAACAATATTTGCGTTTCAATATGGAAAAAAAGAAAGTTCGTACTATAACACATTGCTTCGCAAGTGTAAATATAGGCTTGATCGTTTGAACGAAAAGTACCACTAAATGAATTTATCATTTCCAAATTTTTGCCAAAACTCATGCGAGAACTTTTTTTCAGATTGATTGTTTTTCGAAAATAGAAGTTCTGACTTTGCTTGAAAAAATAACGATGCATCATCCGCGTATAAAACTGGTTTTGTTTTTGACAAACCAAAGAGAGATCCTTTTTATGGACGAGAAGTAGCAGCGGCCCTGGTACTGAGACTTGAGGGACACCACATGTCAAAAATTCCATTTGAGATTTTTCATAATCAATAGCAACAAACTGTTCACGGTCTGTTAAATAACTTTCGAGAAATTTTCCAATGTTAACCCCTCATTCCATATTTTTTCCATTTTGAGAATGAGCTTTTTATGGTTTATTGGGTCAAATGCGTTCTTGAAGTCGATAAAAAAAGGTTTTTGCCAAAAATACGTTCATCAACAATTGAACAAATGAACTCAGTAAAGTCTATTACATCCTTACTGCCACTTTTTCTAGGTTAAAAACCGTAATTACCCGGTCGAAGTTTAAAAAAAAGAAAATTGGAAAAAAAATTCTAAACCTTGCTGATAAAACTAGTCCCTAGCTTTTCTGCAACTGACTATAACGTTTTTATAAAATGGCAGCACCTTGGCAACTTTTAAAACAATTGGATAACCTCCTTCATTTAAACAATTATTGAATAACTTTGATATATGCCCGCTAATCACTGTCGATGAAAGTTTCAATATAACTTTGCTGATACCATCCGAACACATTGAACTTTAGTTTTTCACAAGGAAAAATGTATCTAAAACTTCGTTAGCTGTATCTTCCTCCTTAACCATTGAATTTGATATACTCCTAACATTTTAAAGCAATTTTCGGATTCACTTTATTTGCACTTAATTTTTGTTACCAATTTCAGCTTTAAAAATGGTTGAAAACGACGGCTTCTACTAGGCAATGCCGAGACACTTTTCCTAGCACAAATTAAATTCTCTATAAGCTTGCAAAAATTTTGTAGCTGAAAATAAATTTGTAGTTTGAAAAAAAGACTACCTTAAAAAGCTTTAATCTTCAATATTGCGATTTGCTGGAACCCAATGCTTTCGACTAGGAAGGAAAACTGAGTTCTCCGTACACGATACGGAACATTGATACGAAACATCGGCTTCTACTAGGCAATGCCGAGAAACTTTTCCTAGCACAAATTAAATTCTCTATAAGCTTGCAAAAAAATTGTAGCTGAAAAAAAATTTGTAGTTTGAAAAAAAGACTACCTTAAAAAGCTTTAATCGGAGATCAATATTCCGATTTGCTGGAACCCAATGCTTTCGACTAGGAAGGAAAACTGAGTTCTCCGTACACGATACGCAACATTGATACGAAACAAAAATGTTTTTCACAGGTTATAAATTTTTTCTAATTTTGCTGATTTTTATAATTATTCCAAGTTTTGCGTTGACAAAAATCAAACGACTCCAACATCCCCAAAAAAATTAGTTGCTACAAAAAGTTCAGCGTTTAAACTAAATTGCCGGATACAAATGTTTCGTTTTTCCATGAAACAGCTTTATTCAGAAACAGTTCGAATTTGACCAAAAAATCTGTTACTGATGAGGAAGCTTTTCTGAAAAAAAACAACAAAATGTTTTGAATGTTTCTGGTTTTTGACAAAAAACAACAAAAAAATTCAAGAGAAACTTTAACTTCCATGTTGGTTTCTAGGAGTTTTCGAAACAATAGGTTATTCATAGAACAAAAATAAATTACATATTTTTGGCGCCGACTTGGAAGCCACGATAAAACGTTTTTGTATGCTTTTCCAATTGCTATCCAAAAAAGCATGCAAGAATTTTGGCAAAAAACATTTATTCCCACATCGAGAAAATACTCAACATTTTTCAAAATAGTTTTGTTTTTGAATACGTGTTCTAATTTTTTTCGCTTTCATCTTCTGGAGAACCATCGGGTCGCTTTAAAATTGACTTCAAACTCTCGTCGCGATGAAAATTGCTTGCTGTGGCCGATGTTGTAGTTTTCTCATGACCAGCTGCTGAAGACCGAAGTTACACCTGTTTTAAACCGTAATTTCTCGGATTTGTTCATAGCTAGATGTTTCAGATCATCCACAGCTTTTTTTGAAAAAAAAAACTGAAAAAGACTTATATACTCCTCTCACTTCTGATTTGAATAGCTTCACCTGAGAATTTTGGCTCGCTATCAAACCACAATCATTCGCATATTGCTTAAGGAGGGGGTCTGATGTTGGAAGTCGCTCTTTGATAAAAAATTGATTTTTTATTAGCAGAGTTTCGAATATTTGCTAGCCAAGAGTTACGGTTGTATATATCATTTCTCCTTTAGATATATAATTTTCACTGATAGCGGTGGGGAATAATCAAGATTGAGCTCCAGCAGAAGGGAATCATGATCGCTGACTTAAGTTTTTAAAGATAGTCTTGGCAACATATGTTTTGGCAAAGAAATATAACCAATACATAATTTACTTGTAGGTATAACCCTTGTGCATTCGTAATTGCGTTGAAAAAAAACCAAACGACTCTGGCATACCCAAAAAAATAGTTGTTTAGGTTCAGCGTTTAAATTAAAATCGCCGCATATAACTGTTTCGTTCTTCCATGAAACTTCTTCCGCTCTTCTAATTTGATGGCACGTTTTCCAAAATAATGCAGACCATAAAAAATTTCATCTTTTTGCAAAAATCAGTGACTAATTTCAAGAATAGGCCTAATATTGACATCAGAATCGAATTGAGTTCATTTTCTCACACTTGCAAAGAAATCCCACAATTGGAATTGAGTTTGTTTTCTCACATTTGCAAATGAAACTGTACAAAAGTTACTCATTTCGATGCGGCACACATCGGTTTAAGTTTCATTTGCAAATGCGGAAAAACAAACTCAATTCCAATTGTGGGATTTCTTTGCAAGTGTGAGAAAATGAACTCAACTTGAAAATGAGTAACTTTTGTTCAGACTGAGTTCGTAGAAAGTGACGGAACATTTTTGCTCTGGGTTTTTTCTCCAGACAAATTTCGACTTCTTCACTATCAATTTTTTGACGATCTTTTTATACACAGAGGCGAAGCTGCGCTTCGCAAACAATTGCGAGAGCACGTCAAAAAGCAGCTTTAAATGAAATAGGAAAAATTAGAAAAAAAATCGAATTAAAAAAACTTGGCTACGTATCGGATTCGAGCCTGCGACCTTGCGATTAGGAGTCTCACGGCCTGCACTCTCGGCCAAGGACTACAGGCAAATTAACTGCTAATAAATTGCCAATATGATGCAGCAAAAGTGGCAGGCTGTCTATACAAATAGACACAATTTTGCATGTAATGATTTGGAACATAACAAGCTGAAGAAAATAATCTTAACTTTGCATGTAATAAATTGGAAAGCATAATAAAATTCATTAATAATAATAAATTAGCCAAAGTATGAATAAATTATGCATTTCAAAAAAAATGCCAGATATATTGAGTTGAAAAATTTCTAAAATCAAACTTTTATTGTTGTAGTGTAGTTTGATCAAATAGCATCAACTGTGTTTATTTATAAGTGAACAAATTTCAAAGCACATTCTATCAAAAAGCCGTAACGATACCACCAAAAGTGGGAAAATATTTGCGACTTAGGTTGTAAGAAAGAAAAGTCATACTATAACACTACGCTCGCTAATGTAATCATCCGAAAAGTGTTTTTGTCTTGAGCTCAAACCATTTCACCAGTGATCATTTTTCGTAAAGTTATGAGGGTTTAAAGACCGGCATTTAGGCCAACTTGGGACAATCAACGAGCGATATATTTCGCGCTATTAACGCGTAAGCGGAAATTTAATGCGACTTTTTAAATCGTTTAAAACTAAGTTCGACCATCCTATTAGGTCTATTTAATACTTTGGTACATGCGAAGTATAGTACTGCGTACTTTACTTAACGTGTGGGGGATAATTTTTAGAAAAAAAACTCTTTTTTTATTTGTTCCATTTCTTCAAATTGGACACTACTCCATTGACCTTAAAAAGCAATCGGAGATTTCAAGGCTTTGCGCTGATGAGAGCAGTCTTGTTTTAATTGCATGAAAGTCGCTTGGCCAATGCGATGAGCAAGTGTGTCGATTAGCATGCGACAATTGCTTTAATTACGTTTACACTTTTTCGAAAACTAATTAAGACTGACGTATCCTGAATGTTCCGACTGCCTTTTGAAGGTTTACTTTTAAAAAATTGATAAATTTTCAAAAAAAAAAAGACTTTAAAAAACATAGAAAAAATCACCCGCCCACGCCCATTTGCTATGTAAAAGTACAAAGTAATATATTTGGCATAAAGCAAAGTATTAAATTGACCAAATGGCATGCTTCAATTCAATTTGAAACAATTTCTATGACGGATTGAATCTCCGAGTTAATAGCACGAAATATATCGCGCGTTGATTGTCCTAAATTGGCAATCTTTATACCCCCAGAACTTAACAAAAAAATCACAGATGAAATACGTTTTTAAATTTGAGCTCAGGATAACAATATCTTTCGAATGCGAATGGTAACTTAAAAAGCCTTTCATAAAATTACTAGTAAAAAGTCGATATTTGTCTACAGAAAAAAACACCACGAGCGCCAATATCCGTCACTTCAAAATTCGGAGCAATAGTCTAAATTAACAATCAATCAAACAAATCATTGGATTTGTTAGAAAAATTAAAATTTAATTCTTTCCTGCCATTCAGCAAATGCACACTATGTGAGTAAGAAAACTGCAGCAAGACAATCTTAACATAGCGAGCGAGTCAACGGCATTGCTTTACATGAGCATGCTAATAGGCACACATGTCAATAGGCCGCTCCCAATTAAGTTCACTGAAACTTTGTTTAGCACCAGCTGAGACAGTAGAAAATGCGCCGAATCCAGCCGAAAAAAAAGAGTAGCTCGTATGGTCATTCGAAATAGTTTTATCCGTTATTTCTGCAAACATCTGTTGTTCGAATTTTGTCAACAAATCACCAACGGATTTAGTGGGAGGTAGGGCGCGGACGCGCCTTCCCCGTTCACGGATTCGACCCCCCCCCCTGCTGACCCAAAGGGTCCCCCTTTTGTGCTATTTTGAGATATCCATTTTTGGCGGACTGACTCAAAAATTTTCTAAAGGCGCCAAACTATACTAATTTTGAGGGGTGAGCACGCGCCGAAAACCGCAATTGTCTGGTCAAAATTTTCTAAAAAGTGCCTAAAAACACTTTTTTGAAAAATTCGCCTGCGGGGCAAAAAAATTGGTCAAAATAGGGTCTTTATAGTGATTTGGCGAAGCTCAAAAAATCAAATTGGTCGACCTAAAAAAGTCGAAAAATTTTTTGATCCGCCTCCCCTTGAGGAAATCCTAGATCCGCCCCTGCAACAAATAACTGTTGCGCAACTTCGATTTCAAATTATGTTTTCTGTTGATCTAATGATATCTAGCAATTGCTTCTCATGTGAAAAATACCGTTCAGTTCAATCCTGATAACTTAAAAAAAACTCAAAAAGAGTTTTTTTTCAACAGATTTCAAGTTTACTGTTTTTGTTTTGTTTAATGAGAGGGAAAGGGAGGGTTGAGACTTTCTTACAAGTGATATCCGATATCTTGCAGAATTTTGAATTTTCCTGAATCAGAGTCCCAGTTAACTCCACCCGTCTTCAGATTCCTAAGCAAGCGCTAAAATAAAGAAACCCTTTGCTGTTACGCGATTCACTACCTTATAAATTAAAGATAAAATGGTAGTTCAGTCTAACCTCTCGTTTGCTGTTAATTTCCGAGTAGTTTTCAATCAGATCGGTCAGTGTACTGAAAATGATAATAAAACTATAACTGAAAATGTGTTCCAGCTGCAATCATGGTCAGGATGTTAACGTGCTCCTAAGTCTTATGATTTTCGTGATTTTCAACTTGATAACCGTTTGTTTAAAATTAATTTTTTTTTCACCGGACGATTTACCCCGCCCCACATTGATTTAAAGAGGCTTATACAAAAATGGGTCGTTTAGAAATTAACCATGATGGCAAAACCAATTGACATCAAAATCAATTAATAAAAAAATAAAAATAAAAAATAATTATATTCTGTATAGTCGATTCCAAATTTCAAAGAACGCTGCAATTTTTATTTTCTACCAACTAATTGATTAGTCATTTTGTTGTACAAATCATCATTGTTTTGGAACATTCTGAGGAAAAGCTTCTTTTATTTTAATTTTTTATCGACTTTCAGTTTCTTAGTTTTTTGCTCAAACGTTCTCCATGTAATTCCGTAGGCTAAAACCAGAAACTGAAAGTCAATAAAAATTAGTTCGTATATTAGGGGCAAAGCCTTGAATATTCCGAATTCCATTTAAATGGTCTCAAATAGCTTATGGTATAAATAAGGATGGTAATCTCATGATGGAGGGACCGAATGATGGAAAACTTTTAACCAATCAGGATCGTTAGACATTACTTTTGACTAAATGAATTTTGCGCAAAACCAAAGTCATAATTAACAGAAATTGAGTTATAGCAGCACAGAAAAGTTTTCTGTACAATTCGTGCAAATATGCAACAAACTTTTGAATAGTTTTTCATTTGACAACCGGTTTTAGGTTTTTTCCAATACCCAACTTCGATTTCGCAATATTTGACAAAACAAGTATCTGTTAATTTTCTTATTGGTCAATATTGATTTTTATGCTCTGGATTTATTCGCTTTTCTTGAAAATTTGCACAATTTTTGAGATTTTTGAATATTCAATTCTGAAAATACGGTCCTTCCATCATGAGGGACGCCACCATAAATTAAAATTAGATGAAAGAAAAAGACTGTAAACTTTTCTCCCCATAGCCAAAATCAATTAGTACTGATTATAGTTTGTAAAAAATAAATTATTATGACCAATTAGATTGCCCTAATGCAATTTGGAATTTTTGGGATATTTCGCCAGGCATAAATCATTAACTCACATAATGATTCGTTAGAATTAGATCCAATCAATTCGCTAGACTTTCATCATCATTGATGATGAAAATCAGCGAATTGATTGGAAGAAATTCTAACGAATCATTATAGGTCAATTTTTAAAGCACGCATATAATAGCTCAAGACTATGGATAACATTGCTATTTTTGATTCAAAAATTATCGCAGGTCAAATAAAGAGTTATCAGTTTGAACTGAATACCTTGATCGGTTTTGAAAAATTTTTCATTGGAAATTGTTTCGATCACCGAAAAAAATCTAGAATAACAAAATTGACCCAATAATTAACAAGACTGCTCGTAAATCAGGGCAAAGCAGGGGTAAAATTAGGGGTACAGCCGACGCAACCCCCACCACTAAAGGTTCGGACCCCACCGACCCAAAAGTTCCCCATTTGGGACTTTTTTAAGATGTCCATATTTGGCCGAGACACTTCAAAATTTTTCTGAAGACGAATTCAGCGCATATAAATAAAAATTATGATGGGGCGCGCGCCGATTTTGAAGAGGAGCGCTCGCGCTCAATTTTCGAACCCCCGAACTTAACAAGAAAAAGTTGATTTTTTTTCACATTTGAACTCAGGGCGCCGACATTGTCAACAACGGCGTATCAAAATTTATTTGGTAAAAACAATTATTTCAATCGCCGAAACTTGACTGAACAAAAACCACCCAAGCTTGAATATTCCGCATTTCTTCAAAAGTCGGAACAGTTAATTCAAAACCATTTTAATTTAAAGAGTGAGTCTGAACAACAGAATATCAAAGTAGAATTTATTCTTTCAATGACGTCAACAAGTCAATGAAAAACTTAGAAGCTAATACTTAAATGCTTGAAATAGTTCATATGTGAATCGGTTCAAAAAAGTCAAATTTTACATAGCAAGTCATTACAACGTAGAAAGTTTTCATTTTTTGAACAAAATAGGTGACATAAAACAAGGATAACCGGTTATTGTGCAAGTAGCACAGAATTTTGCGACCAGTCTTAAAAAATTTAAAAGATTTTTTTTCAAATTAGGGTATTTCTTTCAGCGTGGTGAGATAAAAAAGATTATAGAAGGGAAATTATTGTTGAAAGGAAAATTATTCTTGAAAAAAACGGCTAGAAAAACGAAAAAAATATTGGGCGCTGGCAAACCAAAAAAAACTAACTTTACTCGAGTAAAACTAAGTTTTCACGTTTTCAATAAGGCTATTGTACGCTTAGTCGCTCGCTTTATTCGCTCGAATCGGGAAGAAAAACCAAAAACTTCAGACCGGTTTTCACAAACTTGGAAATGTTTTGGAAATTTTCTAATGTCGTTCGAATCACGACTGTAAGGGCTTTAATATGATATATCATTCAACTCTCTCATATGATTATTTGTGGTAGCTGAGAAAACAGAAAAAAAAACTAAAACATACCCATATACAAAGTTCCTCCCGGAACAAATGGTCGGAACAAAATTTGGATCAAAATAGATTTAGATGAAAGTCTGAGTCTAAAAATTGAATATCTGTGTAAAATAAATTCTTTTTTAGAGAGAAGAAAATTTTAAAAGATTTTAAAAAACTGATACGCTTATACGCCTTTCATGATGTACTAGCAAACTTACCAGTGCTTATACAATAGGTAGATATCTTCATATGTATAGTCATGTAGTAACAAATCCATGAACAAAACACAGAGAAACATCACTTCATCGGTGGTGTGAAGCGTTGTGGTGTAGCTATGAACACGAGTGTCGATTAGCATACAGCATTTACTTACGAAGAAATTGAATATCTGCATCAACCAGAATTTACATTGGTGATTGAAAATCAAGATGTCACACAATTTAGACTGGCTATGCTAATCGACACACATGTCAATGGGTTGACCGCTATTAAGTCTTGAAGTCTAAAACAGACAATTCAAAATAAGCCAAAAGCCCTTATAAAAAATAGTGCAGAACAAAAGAAAACACACACTGCAAGCGATACATTCTGAATTTTATCATTTTCATATGAAAAATTTACTTGAGTCAAATTAAATAGTCATAATCGCCAAATTTATGCTTTCACACCAATACAAGCAATTGTATTGAATTATGTTAATTGTATTTAACTATCTGGAAGCTAAAATAACACAACTTTAAAATCAGAATTACCTTCCAAGTTGGCAGGCACCAATATCAATTTATGTAGAAATAATTTTTTTGTTTGCTATAAATTTTATTTCATAAAATTTTCAAAGGCCCTCAAATTGGTATGCCACTTTCAACTTTGTCAAATTAAAGTTTGTAATTTCACGGTTTTCTGGTGCCTGAACAAAAAAAATGCACCCCATTATGCCCAGCAGAACTGAACCGTGAATCCATCAGATAATTGGAGGATAAATTTTACTTACAATGTTTGGTACTTTTCTTAGTTGCGCTACTGTTATAGAGTGGTTTTCGACAAACTTCTTGAATGATTGGACATTGATAGCCCTGAAATAAAGGTGAAAATTGACCATGTAGACTCCATTTTGTATCAATCACTATTTATGAAGCAAAAAATTGATGCATAGAAAGTTAATATTTGGTTTATACAATTTAGATTGCCTGATAAAAAAAAAGCTTTTTTAAGTTCAGAAACAAGTTAAAACTCTCCTTAATATGTTTAAAATGTTTCTCACCGATCCATAATTTGGCGCCCATATGAAGAAAACAGGAGTAGCCTCTGGACATAAAAAGCGTATCTTGAATTAGTGCCAAACATGATGGATGGCACGTAGAAAACAGGTAAACATTGCAGGAATTGCACGTCCATCATAGTCACACAACACTTTAACTGCAGTTTCTGGTACAGTTATGATTAACGATCTGCCTGAAACAAATTGTTATTCAACCAAAGTATTATACATGTTGTACCGTATACGACAGATTATACGAAATAATCATATTTGTTATACGCAGTATACGACCACACGACAACTCATTTATGTGAATTTTTAGGCAATACAACAAAATCTCCACTAAATCTCAACAGTGCAGAGCATGTATACCTACATTTTGATACATGTACTTTTGAGATGGTATATTATGTGCATGAGTACATTAAAATTTAGAACTCAATCGAAGCATAATTTTCTATATTTAGAATTAGGGCATGTTATTTTTAAGATATGAACTCCGGTTTTCTCACACAACCAAGTGAATTCACTGCAAAAAGTCAATTTTTAACACAGGTGATGCTAAGCTTTGGACCACTTGCGGATACATCTAGATTAATAAAAATCGGAGTGCGGCCAGTATTTAGACAGCCGCGTATTCATACTGGTCAGTATTTAGACAAATACTGTTTCAACCAATCAGAATCGGGAAAAAACATAAATAATCCAAAATAAATAATAATTATTTATTAATTTCTTCTTTGTCTCGATTCTGATTGGTTGAAACAGTATTTGTCTAAATACTGACCAGTATGAATACGCGGCTGTCTAAATACTGACACGTAACCATAAAAATCGATGAAAATAATTGAGAAAAAAAAACATGCCCAGACAATAGAATGCAAAATCATCATAGAAAAAAACTTACCAAATGGTAACAAAGCCAGGATCTACTTAACAATCGCCCCTCTATGCTATCTTCTAAAAACTTGCCACCCCAACAAATATCGGCAGTTAATTATCATTGAAGCTTTCTAATGAGAACTCTAATTTTGCTGCAAACTGATTGGTCAAAAATTCGACTTAGTCTTCTTAACAATCAGCCCGATTGTCTTGAAAGAGGGATTGTTAAGTAGATCCTTCATTTGCTTCAAAACTCGCTCTAGGAGATTTTTTATTTCAAAACCCTCTAGGACTCTTCGTGAAAGTTAGAGCCCGGGTATCGTCTGGCGCTAACCAGGGACCTTATACCGAGAGTTGACAGAAGTCGGATAACTGAACCATGTCTTGTTTTGGAAATTCTGAGACATATTATTACATAATTGTTCCGACTTTCGTAACGAAAGTAACGGAATATTTGTGCTCGGGGTGGGTTTTTTTCAGACAAATTTTGGCTTTTAAACTAACCATTTTTGACGGAATTTTTTTATATCATTTGAAAGCTATTGTTGTCCTGAGCTTAAAATTGAAAAGATATTTCACCTCTGACCATTTTTTGTACGGTTATGGGGGTTAAAAGATTACAATTTTGGCCGATTTGGGACAATTAACGCGCGATATATTTCGAGCTATTAACGCGTAAGCGGAGATTTAATCAGTTTTAGAAATCGTTCCAAATTGGTCAAGAAAGCTTATATTCCATAATTGATTTGTTAATAGGAGCGAAATTTATCATTTTGTACTTCTTATGGCGTGTGGGGGATGTTTTAACAAAAAAATCTCAATTTTTTAAATAAGTTTTATTTTTTCTACATTTAAATTTTTCATGTTATTACTGCTCCATAGAACTTAAAAGGCAGTCGGAACATTCAGGGCTTCGCCCTGATACGAGCAGTCTTGTTGTTCCGACTTTCATAACGAAATATTTGTGCTCGGGGTGGGTTTTTTTTTCTTCAGACAAATATCGACTTTTTAACTAGCCATTTGTGACGGATTTTCTTATATCATTCAAAAGGTATTGTTGTCCTGAACTTAAACTTGAAACAATATTTCACCTGTGATCATTTTTCGTAAAGTTATGGGGGTTTAAAGATTGCCATTTTGGCCAATTTGGGACAATTAACGCGCGATATATTTCGAGCTAATAACGCGTAAGCGGAGATTTAATCAGTTTTAGAAATGGTTCCAAATTGGTTCAAGGAAGCTTATATGCCATAATTGATTTGTTAATAGGAGCAAAATCTATCACTTTGTACTTAATATGACGTATGGAGGGATGTTTTTACAAAAAATTCCAAATTAAAAAAAAAATTCAATTTATTTTTTTACTTTTAAATTTTTCATGTTATTACTGCTCCATATACCTAAAAAGGCAATCGTCACATTCGGGGCTTCGCCTGATACGAGCAGTCCTGTTATTATATGAGTTCGGATGATTGACATAGCGGATGTTTGACATATCGGATATTGAGCGTTCTGTATAAAATTCGAACTTTGCTGCTATCTGATTGTTTGAAACTTCGGCTAACTTAATCTACTTAACAATTAACCCCCTTCCCCTTCTTGAAGAGGTAATTATTACGTAGATCCCAAAGCCAAAAATACCTGAGCCAGAACTCTTCATGCCGAACATTTTTAAAAGTCAAAACAAATAAGAAACTTTAAATTACCCTTGCCCTCAGAACACATAAACGCACCCAAAAAGAGGCTATTGAGAAGATACGTAAGAAAGAGGCTATTGTGAAGATTCAATATAGACCGAAAAAAGACAAAACTGAAAAAATATTTATATGAAATTTCATGAAAACCGAGTTAGTAAAAACAGAACAACCATAAAAAAGCAAATTTCGAACAGGCCGGATATTTATAAACAAAAAGGCCCGGTAGATTAATGAGTTCAGGACAGGGTTGGGTTTTAAACAAGTTTTTGAAATAAAAACGTTTTAAACGTTTTAAAACGTATAAAATTCAGATTTTGCACTACTTTGTCAGATTTATACCACACATTCTTGGCTGACAAAAAACATGGAACCAATTTGAAACTTCAATTATGAAAAACTTAAATGCAAAACTTAGGCCATGGTAAAACATAAAAGTGCTTACAAACATATAGCTTGCTTCATATTGTTGCAGTATGACGTATTATAAAACAATAATTAAAAACATGAATAAAAAACACCTGTTTTAAAACATGTTTTTAAACCCCCTATAATATACCGTATCTGGCGGATGGATAATACGGGTATACTGTCGTCTACTGTTATGCGAGCTGTTCAATTGGTAATGTTATTTAGCACTACTGGCTATCAATTGTATTTAGATTGGATTCATTATTTAGATATGTCTCGAGCGGTAAAGACCTATCTTGCTTTAAAGGATGCTGGTTCCGATTCCTAGCTTCTGATATTTCGCAAGTCGATCGGCGCAAGTAAGAGCATGATTGGAATAGTATATTAAGTTGATCTCTATTCAATTGATTCGTAGCTCGGTATAAATCTCCAATGATTGGTATTAATTACCATCAATGTTTACATAGTTAAATAAATATATGATGCAGCTCTATTTTAACATCAAGGTGAATTATGTAATCTATTCGGTTCAGATGGTTAATTAGAATGAATGACATCATGAAGGGATGATGTCACACAACCTCACAAGAAGAAGTCTTCCCGGGTGGTTGAAGTGTTTCATCAGATACATTTACAATAATTCACATAATAATTTAAGACTGCTTTGATTAAGAATATGTACAAGTATCAATATGGTATGGGTCTATCAAAAGTTATATCGCAATAATTTAATAAACTCATAATATTAGAAGCACAGTTTATTAATTCAATTTATAAAACGAGAGAAGATAAATTATTTTAAACTTAAATGGGAGATAATTTTTAAGCAAGCCACCTTGAGTCGGGGTATGGGAGTTAAAGTGATAGATGATAAGGATAAATTAATGATATCATGATGTATTCATTTGTCAACTGTAACTAAATTTCCACGGCAAGAACTGTCGTGTGGAGTAGCTGAATAGTTTTGGTCGTCGTTTCGTTTTAATTTTTGATATCGCTGTCTTCGTTCGTTGTTGCCTTTCATTCTTTTTGTGCTCGTTTGATGCTGAAGTCTTTTTGATATGAGGCGGTGTGGTTCCAATCGTTGCCTCATAGATTGTGAATTGATTATCAACAACTTAACAGTGATATGTTTTGTTGATTTCTTCACCATTTCTTTTGAAAATTTTCAACTAGCTTAGCAATTAGTACTTTATATTACTTGCTAAAAGGTTGATATTTCATTTACTGTTCGTTGTCTATTTTTCAGAAGTCTTCTGGTCTTCATCGTATGGGCGTTTTGTGCCTTTATTGGCCTTACTCCCTGAATGAAGGTGATCGACTTTTTTCTTTGAAAAAGTCAAAATTACACATTTCTACGATGTTTTTGCATTGATCGCGATCATCGTATTGTGTGTAGTGTCTGACTTTTTTTTTTTTCAGTTCTTTTCTTCTACTGTAGCTGCACTTCACTCCTATAGGCTATTCAGACAATTTGCTGGTTCGCCTGAGCAAAATTTGGCGTCAGTTAGAGTAGTTGATAAATTACTTTTTTTTTTTTTTTCCATTAATTTCGTTTATCTTTTTTTTTTGATATCTTCTTGGCATTCAAGATTCGCGTGTTGTTCTTCAGTATCACTGACAACCTTTTAGGGTTGCCTAACAAGCACATTGGATGTTTGTTGGCTCATTTGAACGCTTTCTTTCTGAATTTCTGCGAAGATATCCCTCGAATTTTATATTTTTTCTTGTTTTGCCTATCATAAATATGGGAATAGTGTAAATTGATGTATTTCTCCAAATTTTGATCTGCTAGTGGATCGACTTCCTGCCTGTTCCTTATTGGTGGTCTAATGATTACTGAGCCCAAAAAATTTCTTTCTTCTCTAGCTAATATTTTTGGGGGGAGCAGAATCTTTTTATTCGTAATGTTTAAACGTTGGCAACAGGTGGATTTTTCGAGATCTTCATGAAGTTGTGATCTGCTAGTGGACTGACTTCCTGCCTGTTCCTTATTGGTGGTCTAATGATTACTGCGCCCAAAAAAATTGGTTCTTCGTTAGCTAAAATTTTTGGGGGGAGCAGAAACTTTTTATTCGTAATGCTTAAACATGGGCAACAGGTGGATTTTTCGAGATCTCGCGAAGTTGACTTCTCCTAGTGAGCCGACTTCCTGCCTGTTCCTCATTGGCCGTCTAATGATCACTGAGCCCAAAAAAATTGGTTCT